ATATTTGTTTTATCTTAAACGAATTGTGGCTTTCCTCCCCGACGGGGGGGGGGGAGGGACCCTACCTGACGGGGACTGCAGTTTCCCTAAACCTAATCTCCCTACCATACACATGTCCATCTAACAATGATTTGGGGTTGAGAGCAAAATAATGTTATCTATCAGACAGTTAACATGTAACTAGAGAACCAGGAAGTAGCTCGAATTGCACTCAATTCTGATTGGTCACTTCAAATGAGTACTGTGTTTTTGAATTCACGATGGTGGAGTTAAGTCAGTTTATACATTCTTGGAAGGTAGTTTAGCAGTATTATCCACTATGGAGGTAAGAGGTTTGTTTTATTATTCAGTTAATGTGGGTTAATACTAGGGAATGTCATTAATAGGCATGATACAGTAGTTGGTAGTGGTAGTAAGACAGACTTGTAAAGACCTAGCCTAAGCCAAGTCTGGCATATTTGTGCATAATGCATAGACAGTTTCACACTGTTCTCTCTCTGTGCCAGCTATTTATCCTCAGTGAGGATATAGATAGGCTAGGCTAGCGTAGCCTTAGGTATGGCCATAGGGCCTTTGTTGGCCTAGCTAAACTGCAGCCTTGCCTCATAGCCTGTTTAATTAGGCCGTGTTCACATAATTATTATAATATAGGCTATCAAGTGCATGCTTTATTTAAATAAAGTTATTGTTTAGGGGTAGGGCCTGGCCTAAACCGGGGTGGGGTTAAAGGCTAGTCTAGCCATTATTATTTGCTGAAAGTTGATGTATGTAATCACCAATAATTAATTAATATAAATGGTGACTTTTATTTCAGAATGTCTCTACTAAAGTTAAAAACTCAATCAAGTGTGGTGGTGTAGGGAAGTATTTTGTTTGTTTGAAGCTTGTACTGTGTCTGTGGCAGTTGATTGAACAAACAGAAAATTACCTGCTTTCGTCAAAGGTGAATATAATGTTTTCTTTACGTTTTAAGTTTACTGGTCCTAGGTTGTGATTAGCAACATGCTCCAAATAAATTATATGTACTGTAGTTACTATATGATGACCGTTAATAAATACAGGTCTCCCTCAAATCAAAGACCACTTTTGGGACCAGGATTTGTATGGTCTTTAGCAGCTTTGGTCGCTAGTTAGAATAAGAAAAATAAGACAGTCAATTTGCGACCACAGAAAAGTGGTCTTTATTTAGAGGTGGTCTTTAATTAGAGCGGTCTTTTATTAGAGGGAGATCAGTAATCAAATTTAATTTTTACGTAATTAGGCCAAATGGAACAAAAGAGCCAACTGCACTCATTGAGAGAGTAAACAAACGATATGCCCTAGTACGCAGCCAGTGTAAGATGCCCGCTGTCATTTGTATGTCCACCCACGTCCTGTACCATTGTCATGCTGTTTTTCTACTTGCCAAGTAAATAGCGGGCATACGTCAGTACACAAATGAACGCGGGCATTCTACACAGCTATGACGTTTCTATAAGTACACACGTTTGTTCTATTTATAACCTTTGATTTGGCCTATAAGGGACATTGAAATTGTAACTGTTTTGAAAACTAAAAAAAAAAAAAAACATTAATGGAAACTGATAATTCACTTAAAAAAAAAAAAAAAAAATTCTAGTCTCTTACTTATCTTAGCTACTGTACATTATGCATATCATACTTATACATTAATTTCGAGGGGATACAACATATATATCCCCTTAATTAAGATTATTTTAAAAATAAAAAATTGAGCATAGGTATTTCAATTGACAAAAGGCCATTCCCCTGCCCCTTAACTTCTTATAATTGACCTGTATAATCTGATTTTTCATTCATTTTAATTTTTTTTTAAAAAGGGTTTTGAAATGCCCAGCACAATGAAATGCATATGCTCTGTTTTACATTCTTGGAATGCTTTTTTCATGTTTAAAAGCGCATAGAGGTTTCAATAATATGTGCTCTATATATAAGTTAGCCATTATATCCATTATTTCAGATTTTGTTATTGTTATATCTTTCAGCAAGTGTAAAACTCCGAAAAAATTTAGTACAAGCCAAAGTGATTCAATATTTCAAGCTTGATTTGTTCAACTGCAGAATTCATACTATCTGATCTTTTAGCAAGAATTTTAATTTAGCTTGCTACCATCGGACATGAAAAAGCATCATTGTGGACAGCTGCTTCAATATACAAAGAATGCTGGGTAGTGTTATTAAAACAGGCTAACTGTCTCCTATCAATTAAGTCTCGCAGGGCTTGAGTAACCCAAATTTTATCCGACTTTTAGATCTTAACTTCTTTAATTGGTCCAAAAGTTCATACAACTTATCCGATTAATACATTGGAAGGTCAAGACTAATACATTTTTAAATTCACCTTTTGTTATTTTTCCTAGATTATGGGAACAACTTCCTAATGGAATTAAACAATGTACATCCATTTCGGACTTTAAAACCCAGCTCACAAAGCACTTGATCTCAAAATATTAATAATAATAACTATTAATTATCTCTGTTTTTCATTTTGTTATAGTTAAATCAATTTATTTTGTATTTACTTTTTTTTGTATATTATTTATATTGTATTGTCATTGTATTTGTTTTTGATGATGGAGTAAGAGCAGTATACTGTTGGGCTTATGCCTATTACTTACTCCTGGCAAGAATATTATATGTATACTTTTTACTTTGCCGAATAAATATTATTATTATTATTATTATTATTATTATTATTATTATTATTATTATTATTATTATTATTATTATTATTATTATTATATCATTAATAGCAGTGTCCAAAAGTTCATACAACTTATCCATTTTCCCTTGGGTGGTAGAACAGCAAGTAATATCTGTCCAGTCCTGGTTGAAAATCCAGCGCCCGAAGTTGCAAATTCTTTTTGGATAAAAAGGACGAACTTTGATTTTGCTCACAGTGTTATTGACAGATCTGATCTTGGGTTTCCACAACACGGACAGGTGGTCACTTTTCCCTAGAGGGGCAAAAGCAGAGGGTGCAAAAAAATTGTCGAGGTTAGTTAGTATCAAATCCAATGTAACGTTGCCACGTGTGTGAAATTTAACGACTTGTTTAAGACAGGTTCCGTTTATAATGTTGTACATGTTCATCCGGTTGAAATCTCCCATCACACAAAAACCTGTTTCAGGTGAGCGTGAACGAATACCATCCATGGTATCAATTAGATGATGTTCTAATAATGCTTGATGTGGAGAATTAGTAACTATGTAAACGCCGCACAAAACAATTTGTGAAATCCCCTTCGGGAGTCTATGCGGCCTTATTTGAATCCAAATTACTTCTAGTTCAGGAGGTACAACAATGTTTATAAGTGGTTGAACATTCATGTAATCTTTCAAGTAAAAAGCTATGCCCCCACCTCGTCTATCTTCTCGACAGGTAGAGAATGATAATAATTAGGAATATTGACTTGATTTGGGTGATGGTGAGGTGAAAACCATGATTCGGTGATTACGGTCAATTGTTTCCTTGTTAAGGAATATATGTAGTTCATCAAGTTTGTTAAGCACTGAACGTGCATTACAAAGCAGGATGGTGGGTAATTTAACTGCAGATTTCCGATCGCCGCCATTTTGCTTAGTTTGGTCTGGAACTAACTCAATTGAAGTTGTTACCCGAGTCCGAGGCTCAGTGTGTGTATGGAGTTGGTCATTCCTAACAAATACGTTGTAAACGACAGGAATTCGCCGTTTTATCTTACTTCCCCCACGTCTGCCCCTTTATGGAAAACATGAGTAAAGTCAGACAAAGGATTGAATGGGATATAAATTTGAATGTTATCATCATACATTTCAAACTGAATTTCATAAGAGTGCAAGATGTTGGCAATGGGTAATATATACAAAGAAAACAAGAGTGGGCCAAGGACGGATCCTTGGGGAACACCACAGTGTAAAAGCATAGGGGTTGAAATCGTACCTAGGACACAGGCTTGCTGAGAGCGTGATAATAAATATGAGGAAACCAGTTAGAGCAAAGCCAGAAAGACCATAATGTAATGACAGACACTGAATAAAAATGTGTTAAAGGATCAGGTAGATCGAGGAGAACAAGAACTTATCATTCTTTTTATCAATTGAACTAGACAGGTCACGGTGTAATTTAAGAAGAGCAGTCTCAGTGCTATGACCAGTTTTATAAGCTGATTGATACACTTACTACAGTAAGGTATTAAAGTATTTAGTTAGCTGAATAGAAACACTTTCCTCAAGTAATTTTGATACAAATGATACAAATACAGATTGGATATCGGACGATAATTGCTAAGATTATCCTTGTCAAGGTTATACTTTTTAAGAATAAGTGCAAGATTGGCGAGCTTCAATACCTGAGGGAAAATGCCAATGAACAAAGATTGATTATTGATATATAAGATTGATGGAGCAATCTCAGCAGAACTGGCTTTAATGAGATACGTGGGTAAAGGATGTCTCTTATACACATCTAGATGTGTATAAGAGACAGGTTTAGGGGTAAGAGGTTCATTAGAAATATGATGAGGTTCAGTAGATGGCAAGATAAGGATTTAATAGCTAAAAGTAGACATAACATAAACGTTTAAAAATGACCTTATCTGTAACAAATTCAACCCCAATCATCAAGCCTTTGCCTCGGACATCACCAACAACTTCAAATTTATCTCTCAGCTTGGCCAGCTCCAGCAGCATGTATGTACCTACGTCGGCTGCGTTCGCTTGGCTGCCATCCTCATCCAAAACCTAGGGTGATGTAACAAACACATTAATGACAGAATAGAAAGTTGCTTTATGAAGTATTTTAAACACTTTTTTTATATGCCGTTGTCATATGGTTTATCGAGTGTGACCTGGGGTTTGAAATAATCAATTAAATGTATTGGCCTTTAGTTCAAGTCATTTTCATTTTCATAATTAAAAATATTTTAACATTATTAAGTTATGGTAACCTGTGGTTTAAAGATAAACAAATAGGTTTTTGTCTACTTGGTGATTTTAATCGTATGAAAGTCTGGAATATTCTTAATGGACACAATCTCAAGCAGGTTGTACAATTTAAAACTCGAGGAGAAGCCACGTTGGACCTGATCCTAACGAACATTGAAAATTATTACTGTGCACCATCCTGTTTAGCTCCACTTGGTAAAAGTGACCATTCATGCATCCTCTGGAAGCCAAATATAAAGACCACCATCAACAATGTAAGAAGGTTAACAGTACGTCCATTTTACCCATCTAGGATATGCAACTTCGGCCGCTGGGCCTCGTCACAGAAATTGGAAGAAGTCAAGAACTGTACAACAACACAAGAAAAAATGGACACGTTTTATGGACTGTTAAACATTGCTATTGATGATTACTTCCCCACCAAAGTGATTAAAACCCACAATACAGACAAACCATGGATTACTCAGCATTTACGGTCATTAATTGATAAACGTCAAGTTGCCTATGTAAAAGGTGATTCAGTAGAATGGAGAAAATTTAGAAATATTGTTAAACGTGAAGTTTTAAAGGCTAAACACATATACCATATTGAACGTGTAAAACATTTACAGCATAGTGATGATCCACATAAGTGGCATAGGCAAATTAAATCTATGACCAATACTCGAAATTCAACTGATCTTAATCTTGTAATACCTGGTATCCCTTCGGCTGATCACTGTGGCATTGCTAATGCAATTAATGACCGTCTCACTAGGTTTGGCGCTAATTTGCCATTGTTAAATTACGGTAAACCTCCTGCATATTTACCTTCAGACAAGCCTGCACCTCGGGTACAACCGTGGGAAGTCTATAATAAGTTAAAGAAAATTAATCCAAAGAAAGCTGGAGGCCCTGAATCTATTCCCCCTAGAATCTTGCGAGAATTTGACCCTGAATTGAGTGAACCCCTTGCAGATATTCTAAACTGTTCTTTTTATAGAAAGTAAACTTCCATTAACAGTGGAAAAAACTATTGTGGTACCCATTCCAAAGGAACAACCACCTAGAGTTGACAGGTTGAGGCCCATTTCACTTACCTCTGTCTTTGCTAAGATAGCAGAAGAGTTTGTTTGTGATTGGATCTTAGCTGATATACAACCAAAATTAGATATTCGACAGTACGGTAATGTGAAAGGTGCCTCAACCAGCCACTACCTTATTCGTCTTATTCATGACCTGAGCTATGCAGCTGACAAAAGTCGCAACATTGGCACGATCGTACTCACGGACTTCACTAAAGCATTTGACCTTATTGAACACAACATCTTAATTAATAAATTTATCAACATTGGAGTCCGTGGGTCGATCATCCCATGGATTTGCGACTTTCTCAGCTGCAGAGAACAGTGTGTCAAGTATAACAACACTTTATCTAATTTTATATCGCTCAAGGAGGAATACCCCAAGGCACAAAACTTGGACCTGTTGGTTTCCAAATTTTAGTTAATGATGCAGGACAGTGCACGACTACCAAATATCTGAAATATGTTGATGATTTAACTTTTTATGAAAACAGATCCATTGGCCAACAACGCATTTTACAACATGATCTTAATGTTTTTAATGACTGGTGTGCTATAAACTCCCTACAGCTCAATCCTAAACAGTGCCAGGCACTGCAGGTCTGCTTTGCAAGAAATCCTCCAATTATACAACCTTGTTTTGATGGCAAACCTATTACTGTGGTTGATAAAACTACAATATTGGGCGTCACACTTCAACATAATTATTAAAAATTAATAAAAGTTAACAATATTGTTACTAAGGCCAACAGGAAACTGTTTATGCTCCGAAATCTTAAGAAATTTGGACTTGATAAACAAGAACTTAGAGCAGTTTACACAGGGTATATCAGACCAATATTAGAATATGCTGATGTTGTGTGGCACCCTGGCCTCACTCAAGATTTAAGTAACACTATTGAAGCGATACAGAAAAGGGCATGCCATATAATCTTAGGCAAACATTTCAATTCTTATGAACATGCCTTGGGCATATGTGAACTTGAACTGCTCTCGGAAAGGAGGGTGGTACAACTGTCTCAAATTCGCCAAGGGTCTCACTTTAACCTCACATTCTTCTGATCTGGTACCACACACTCGTTACCGCAGCCACAATAAAAATCTCCGCAATGGTAACAAAATCACGCAATTTTCCATTAAAACAAATAGATTTTTCAATAGTCCAATCCCGTACTATATCCGATTACTCAATAATTCATAAACAGCAATGTTACCCTTGATTTGAGTGTGCCACCCTCCTTCCCGATTGGTGCTACACATTTTCGGTCCAAATAATAATAATAATAATAATAATAATAATAATAATAATAATAATATGAAAATTACAATAATAATTATAATAATAAAATAATATTTTTTTTCTATATATATATTTATTTTATATTTTTTATTTATTTTTTTTAATATGTATTTCTTGTATCTTCTTTTTTTAATATTTTAATGTTTTTGCCGCTTTCTTGCCCATAACTTTTGTAATATTACAAGCAATTTGGCCCATTGGGCCACCATCTGTGATACCTCTGAGTGTTTTATCAATAAAGTGAAGTGAACATTCACAAAAAAAAAAAAAATGTTTCTTTGTGTTAAAATTGTAATTTTCATATTATCTAGTCGCTTAGCTAGGCATTCTTGCCCATGCCCTTAGCAATAGATTACATGTTGTTATCAAGTCATTAATAAACACAGACCAAAAAGGCTATATTAAGGGGCGTTTTACCGGTGAAAATGTCAGATTAATAGAGGACTTGCTTTATTATACTGAAAGGCATGGTGTTAAAGGAGCAATTGTCGTCTTAGATTTTTAACAATCTTTTGATTCGATAAATAGAGAGTTTATATTTGAAGTGCTTTTTTTTCGAAATTGGGTTAAAGTTTTGTATAAATGTTCTGTCTCTGGTCGATTTAGACGCTGCGCGTCAATTTAAAAAAATTGTTTACCGGACATACAACGCCACCTATCCCGAATTTTTGGGTGCGGGTTATCCATTCTCTGTTAGGCCATTGCTAGCCCAACTAATTAGCCTAGGGTAGGACCGGTTTGTAGGCCTAGTAGTTGTAATTATACTCACTACAGTGCATGCTGTACTAGGATTCCTACTACGATTTCTACGACATTCAAGCAATAGCTTGGGTTATCTAAATCATTCATTTATAAACAATTTTGAAACACGCTGTTCGAAAACTACCAAACTACTTTTCGCCAATTTGGTCCTGGGGTCACGTGAGCAGCTTCATTTACGAATGTCGCAACAAAACACACGTGGGCTGGTTGTTAAACTTGCTATTCAACGTTCCGGGTTCCCGGTGGCTTGTACCGTTATAGAATGATCCGCTAAAATGTCAGAATAAAAAACTTGTAAAATTAATTTATGCTATAAAAACACACGTTTTCTTGAAGTTGTAATAATTATTTTACTTGAATTTGACTTTAGTAAGGCATTCGTCATCTGCGCATGCGTAAGCTTTGTATCGCACGATATTTTCCCCACTTCTGTTTTTGTTTATAAAACGTGGTGCGTGATGAGTGCGTGCTTCGCACAATGGGCTGTGAGTTAGTCATGACTTAGGCCTAGAATTACCAATATATTAAGCTTAATACGACTGTAATTAGTCACCATAATAATAGAATGATTGTTTAAAATAGATAAATATACTCAATAAGTATTTTATTTTCTTAGAATTTATTAAACTAAACTGATATTGAAATTTTAACATAGCGCGACCGTCTAGCTTGAAATGGGGATTTCCCCAGAGCAGGAATACGTTGTTTCAACTTTTTACTTTAATCAACTAGGTGACAAAAAAACAATCGTGGTATTTCGCATCCTAATTATGGTGCGGCTTTTACACAGGTGCGGCTTATACGCCGTAATATAAGTGACCTTTTGGCATTTTATCGTGCGACACCGTAGCTCGGCGAGTTTGCTGAGCGTGAAAGTATGTGATGAAAGTCCGTCGTCGTCCTCAAGCAGTGGTCCGAGCGACATTTGCACCATGGATCGAAGAAAGTCACGGCTATGGTGGGATCATCGCCCGTCGGATTTTTTCAAAGCGTACCCATTAATGTTGGTAATGATGATGAATTAAGACGGCAAATGAAGCGAAATCGAGGATGTGGAATTTGGAAGGACAACAATGTATAGCATTAGCAGAACATAAAAAAGATACTAAAAACACCTTTTCTGTACTTTCCATGCTTTTCAAAAACAAAAAAAAAAAAAAAAATAGAAAAAAAAAAACCGCATCGCCGCATCAATTCTGTAACTTTTTTTTGGCCTAATGTTGTTAAAGCTATTTATAATGTAATGTAACCATATTTGATTTACTGTTTTTCATTTTTTTTATTGTTGGGGTAATGCTGGTTTCATCCAGCCCCTGATTTGAAAAAGTTTCGTTGCATATATCAGAAAATATGATGTGACGTATTTCATAATTCATGATGGAGTGTACGTATGATTTGACACAAGGTGACATGTATTTCATGATATCATAGTTTAAACGTCCGTTCATAAGAAATTCTTTTGGAAGCATGAACACAAGGGGCGTAATTTTATTTAAACAGAAATTAAAAAAAAATTGTAAATAATACCTAATGTGACGTAGGCCTATATAATTCATAATGGAGTATCTAAATAAAAGTTAGTACAGATTAAACGTCGGTACTTTATGGGTAGATTTTATGTTAAAAAACAAAACAAAACAAAAAAGAAAAAAAAATGTAATTGCAAATAGATGATATTCATAACTTGTATCATGATTGATTGAGCGAATTCTGCTTAAAGATTAGTGCATTGTGAAACTGTCCAAGGGGCCGAAAAAAAAGAAAATGTAACTTTTGAAAATATGAGGATACTCAATAGGTTTCATACTTATTCACTTAAGGGAATATAGATAAGTATAAAACAGAAAATTATTGAAAAAAGAGATAATGGAAAATAAAGGTGGGTTATCCCCACAAAAGAGAAACAGATATGAGTGCGTCTGTAAACTTAGATATTACTATCCAAAAATAACTCCAGGACCAAAAGTTACAAATATATACAAATGAATTTCATTTTTAGTTAGTTTCATTTAACGTAGGTTTATATTTTTTAGTTCAAATTTTTAGCAAGCCACTTGACTACTAATACAATGATGATGATGACATCTGGTTAAAAGTAGGCGTATACCCCGAACGCGGGAACGAAATCCAATAAGGAGGCCTCTATAGATTTAAGCCTGTGACCTATGAATGTCAGAATATTCATTTTGGGCATGATAATAAAATATTTTTATAATAAGGATTCACCTAAAAATACTGGTTTTAAGTTGTCAGACCTGTTAAACTTCACATCAACTCTCTAAAAATGAGCACATGAATTGATTTGTTTTCTTGCAAAAATGCTCGCGACCCAACGCAAAAGGTTGGCGACCCATTTGTGGGTCACGACACACAGTTTGGGAATTAAGCGTGGCTCTACATTACAGTACTGAAAATCGGCAGGAAAAAATATCTTTTTTTTAGCAATGTTTTACTGGCCGGAGTTGGCATACGATCGGGTGTTGAATACAGAGGCCCTAAAACAATTATAATGAAAACTATAAGTCGAGTTACATTACAGTTTTTACATGTAAAGCTGGTATTGGTTACTTAGATATAGATTCAAATGTTGCATTTTTGTGGGTGGGGTTAACAAAAATTTGATTGTAATGCAGAGGACCCTAATGATCACACACACGGAGAAAGGCTGGAGTATGCCTGGCGTAGCGTACGCTTTTGTGTGTGAGATAGGCGGTGGCGTTACACCACTCACAACGCCACCTCCGTGGCGTTATTAACGCTACCTGCAGACCCCAGATTAGTTAACGCCACGGAGCTAACACCAGTGATGCCTGAGTGATCTGACCTCATTTCAAGAGATTGACAAATCACGATTGCAATAGATTAGATTATTTGATCTCTTTCCTGTGCTCTCTATAAATGAAATGGTAAAAGGGTTTTTTTTCTATTGCATTTTACTTAGTTTGCAATGTATATGATTTGTTGATTGTGTTTTGTAAGATATTTTAACCTATTTAGACTGTCTATTAAAACCTGCAATAACAACTGTTCCACAATGTTAGCTGAAAAATTAGAAGTAAAATTGTTTATTCAAAATACAATGATCATATAAGTTCACTTCGAACAATTCTCACATTTAAAGGTTTTAATGGTGCACTGTAAATATTTTAATACAGTTAAGAACCCGTACATTATTTAAAACTGAAAACTTTTCCCCCATAGGCCAATATTACTACTAGTTTAACACCAGCGTTAATATAGCGAACGCCGTCTGTGTAAAAACTTTTAAATTTCAATCCCTGGATTAGCTTAACGCCGGCGTAAGCTACGCCAGTCTTACGCCGTGTGTGTGGAACATAGCCTTAAACAATCATAACGATAACGAAAGAGAGTCGAGTTACATTGTGATTTCTTATCATTATATTCAATAAAATAATAAGATTGGCGCAGTGGAAACAATTTGGTTTTCCA